TGATACAAAAATCCTCAACAAAATACTAGAAAACTGAATTGAATTGAAAAGTATTCCTGCAATGTGAGAGTGATTCAGCATATGAAAATCATTCAATGTAATGCACCATATTAACAGAATGAAAGACAAAAATCACATGATCACCTCAGATGCAGAGAAAGCATTTGACAAGATTCAATACCTTTTCATGATAAAAAGAAAAAACAAACAAAACTGAAGCTAGGAATAGGCCACATATGAAAAGCCCAGAGCAAACAGCATACTCAGTGGTAAAAGACTGAAAGCTTTTCCTGTAAGACCAAGAACAAGACAAGAATGCCTGCTTTGGGCATTTGTTTTCTGGAAGTACTGGAAGTACTAGCTATAGCAATTAGGCAAGAAGAAGAAATAAAAGGCATCTGATTTGGAAGGGAAGAAGTAAAATTACCTCTGTTTGCAGATGACATGATCTTATATGTAGAAAACCCTCAATATTCTACAAAAGAAACTGTTAGAACTAATACATGGATTCGGCGAAGTTGCAGGATAGATATCAAATCAACATACAAAAATCAGTTGCATTTCTATACACTAATGAGAAACAACCTGAAAAGGAAATTAAAAAACAGATTCGAGGAGCCAACTCACCTCCACCCCCAATGGCTCCGGTGGCCAGGGAGTTGTGCAGTGACTCCCACACTCCAGCAAACAAAGAGCTGCAAGCAGCGTGGAGTGTGCAGATCGTGGTCTGCAGCCTGCACACTGCCTAGGCAGTGCCCACTGCTTCTGCCCCCCAGCCCTGGGGCCTGAGGGCAAGCACCATCTGGATGCTGTCCAGCGGCCCCAGTCTGCTCTAGGTGGGTAAATTCACAGAGAAACATGAATGGATAGCAACAGAAAATAGCCCTGGAGCAGTGGGAATCAGCAATTTTTGCACAGGAAGCTTTGGGAAGTGTTGTTTCCTGAAGTCTGCCTGAAATTGGGACATAATTGAACAAACAAGATGAGTTCAGTGCTTTGGAAAGTGTGAAAGCTGCTAGTGAACTCTATTCTCCTTTATCAGAAGTAACTGAAATGAATGAAGCTCGTGCAGAAAATCTTGGGCTTGTCAACAAATCTTGTTATGAAGATGGTTGGCTGATCAAGATGACACTGAATAACTTTCAGAACCAGATGAGCCAAGGCGTGAAGAAGTGTGAGAAATACATAAAATCTATTGAGGAATGAAAACAGAACCCCCTAAGTAAAGCAGTGTGAAACAACATTTTAAAAATGCAACAAATCCAACTTATAATAGTTTCCAAAAGAATAAAATACTTAGGAATAAACTAACCTGTGAGAATATTATAAAATGTTGCTAAAAGAAATTAAAGAAGATGCAATAAATGTAAAGATATCTGGGCTTATGGATTTGATGACTGAATATTGCTAGATATGTCAATACTACCCAAAGTGATTGACAGATTTAGCAATCTCTATCAAAATCCCAGTGATAGAAATATTTTACTTAATATTTATTCATTTAGTATTTATTTAATATTATTTACAGAAATAGAAAAATCCACCCTAAAATTTTTATGGAATTTCAAGGGACCTGGAAATAGCCAAAACAATCTTGAAAAAAAAATAACAAAATTGAAATCGCACATTTCCTGATTTCAAAACCTACTAAAGCCACAGTATTCAAATTAGCATGGTATTGGCATGAAGGGAGACATGAAGGCCTATGGAATAGAAAAGAAGGCCAAGAAATAGACCCTCACATATATGGTCAAGTGAATGTTGACAGATTTGCCAAGACTATTCCATGGAAAAGTATAGTCTGTCAATAAATGGTACTGGAAAAACTAGATAGCCATTTGCAAAAAGATGAAGTTGGACTCTTACCTCACACCATATACAAAAATTAACTCAACATGGACCAAGAACCTATAAGAGCTAAAACTACAAAATTCTTAAAAGAAAACATAGGGGGAAATCTTAGTGAGCTTGGATGTGGCAATGCTTTCTTGGATATGACACCACCAAAAGAACAGACAATGAAAGTAAAAACAGATACATGGGACTACAGCAAACTTACACACTTCTGTGAATCAAAGGACACACTCAACACAGTAAAAAAGTTAATCTACACAATATGAGAATCATATATTTTACAAGGGACTAATATCCAGAATATATAAAGAACTCCTACAACTCAACACAAAACTGAACAACCCTATTTAAAAATGGGCAAAGGACTTGAATAGACATTTATTTAAAGAAGATATGCAAATGGCCAACAGCACATAAAAAATGCTCAACATCACTAATCATTAGGGAAATGCAGATCAAAACCACAATGAGATACTATGTCACCCACCCATTAGGATGACTACTATAAAAAACAAAGAAACAGAGAAATTAACAGGTGTAGGTGAAGATCTGGAGACATTAGAACCTTTGTGCACTGTTGGTGAAAATGTAAAATGGTGCAACCACTATGGAAAAAGTATGGTGGTTCCTTAAAAATTTAAAAACAGAATTATGATATGATTCCAGCAATTCTACTTCTTGGTATATACCCAAGAGAATTGAAATCCAAGGACTAGTCAAAAATTTCCAGCAAACAAAAGTCCTAGACCAGATGGCTTCATGGCTGAATTTTACCAAACCAAACATTCAAAGAAGAACTAACACCTATCCTTCTCAAACTATTCCAAAAAATTCAAGAGGAGGGAAGAATTCTAAGCTCTTTTTACAAGGCCAGCATTATCCCAATTCCAAAACCAGATAAAGACACTACAAAGAAAGGAAAGTTTAGGCCAACATCCCTAATGAACATAGATGCTAAAATCTTCAACAAAATATTAGCAAAGAACAGACAATGAAAGTAAAACAATCTTGAAAAAAAGCAGATACAGCAATACATTAAAAAGAACATACAACACAATCAAGTGGGATTTATTCCAGAAATGCAAGGTTGGTGCAATATTTGCAAATCAATAAACATGATACAACACATAAACAGAATTAAAAATTAAAATCACATGATGTTGTCAATAGATGCAAAAAAAGCATTTAATTAAAACCCATTTATGATAAAAACTCTCAGCAATGTAGGGATAGAGGGATCATACCTCAACATAATAAAGTCCATATATGACAAACCCACAGCCGACATCATACCCAATGGGCAAAATCTGAAAGCGTTCCCCTTAAGATCAGGACAAGACAGGGATGTCCTCTTTCACCACTCTTATTCAACATGGTACTGGAAGTCCTGTGTTAGAAAGGAGGAAGTAAAACTGTCATTATTCACAGATAACATGATATTGTAAATAGAAACTCCTAAAAATTCCTAGGTCTATTAAATGAATTTGCCATAGTAGCAGGATAAAAAATTAATATTCAGAAATTGGTGGCATTTTTATACACCAATAATGAACTATCAAAAAAAGAAATTAAGAAAATAATTCTATTTAGTATTGCAACAACAACAAAGAATAAAGTACCTGGGAATACTAGTAAATTTGACCAAGGAGGTAAAAGACCTGTACTTGGAAAATTATAGGATATTGAGGAAAGAAACTGAATATGATACAAATATGTGGAGATATATACTGTGTTCATGGATTGGAAGAATTGACATCATTAAAATGTCCATATTACCCAAATCAATCTATAGATTCAGTGAAATTCCTATTAAAGTACCAATGGAATATCTCACAGACCTAGAAAAAATATTATATGGAATAAAAAAAAGACCCCAAATAGCCTCAACAATCTTGAGAAAGAAGAACAAAGTTGGAGGAATCACAATACCAGATGTCAAACTATACTACAAAGCCACTATAATCAAAACAGCCTGGTATTGACACAAGAGCAGGAATATAAATCAATGGAACAGAACAGAGAGCCCAGAAATAAACCCACACCTTTATGGTCAATTAATATTTGACAAAGGAGGCAAGAGCATACAATGGAATAAAGACAATCTCTTCAATAAATGATGGTGGGAAAATTAGACAGGTACATGCAAAAAAATGAAACTAGACTACCAACTTACATAAGACACAAGGATAAACTTGAAATGGATTAAATACTTAAATGTAAGTCTGATTTCTGTCTCTAAAGATTTACCTAAAGTTGGCATATCATAAAAAATAGAAACATGTAATACATGATCTTTTATAACTGGCTTCTTTACTTAACGTGTTTTAATATTCATCCATGCCATAGCACGTATCAGTACTTCATTCCTTTTTAAGACCCAATAATATTCCATTGGACATACACGCGTTTTGTTTATCATTCATCAGCTGACAGACACTTGGATTGTTTCTATCTCTAGGCTAGTGTTACTATGAACACACGTGTACAAGTTTTTATTTGAATACCTGTAATGGATTGTTTTCTTAGTGCAACCCTTCCTTGTCCTTAGATGAGGGAAAGCAAAGAAGATATGTTAAGGAAGGGACTGGAAATAAAATTAACATTTAAATATCAAATTAATAATATTTAAAGTCTTGATTAGTAATAAGAATTAATATTTAAATTGATAAATTTGACATATTTTCTCTCGTGTATCATTATAATTCTGAAGTAGACAACCACTTTATAGACCAGGAATCTGTGGCCCAAATGGTTAAATAATTTGTCCATGGTCGCACACTAGAGACCCCAGGTTTTTCTGACCCAACCCTGCCATTCTGACTACCTTACTCATCAAACTAGCATTGGAGTTGAGAGAATGGACGAGAGATACATGCCTTGACAAGGAATTCTGACCAAACTTGGTGAAGTTATCATGCAGACGTTAATGGTACAAAAACCTTGGCTGTGTGCACAAGCCCAGAGAAAGAAAGAATGGTGGTAATCTGGCTTTTGGGTGTGCATACACTGATCACGAGCTGATTACCTGATTGAATACAGCTGGCCCAGCCCCTACATCCCCATCGTGGTCCAGAGGCCCAGCTTCCCCTGACACAGTGGAACTGGACACGATTCATGTCAGGAGTGGACTAAGGTGGGCTACGCACCTGGGGCTGGCGGCACCGTGCCACGGTCTCCTGTCCTCTCTCCAGAGAGTTCTTGCAGGCACTGGTCCTGCTCCTCCCGCAGCACCCGCAGCACATCGCACAGTCGAGGGAGGGCTCCAACCTGCAAGTCCAAAACCAAGAATGCTCATCATTGCAGCTAAGTTGGTTCTATCCCATAAGGACTTACTGTGATCAAGAATGGTGCTAGACAGTGGGATTCAAATTCAAGGAGACAAAGCCCTGCCCACAAGAATCTCCTAGTCCAGTGACGGCAAACCTATGACACACATGTCAGAGGTGACACATGAACTCATTTTTTGGTTGATTTTTCTTTGTTAAATGGCATTTAAATATATAAAATAAATATCAAAAATATAAGTCTTTGTTTTACTATGGTTACTATAGAAATATCAAAAAATTTCTATATGTGACATGGCACCAGAATTAAGTTAGGGTTTTTCAAAATACTGACACGCCGAGCTCAAAAAGTTCGCCATCACTGTCCTAGTCCATAGTGAAGTACAGGCAGCCATTTCTAGGAAGGAGTTCAGAACAGCAATCTGCAACTTGTCCACTGTAAATCTTGCCCTTAAATTTATAAAGGCTTCCAGTCCAACAAGCTATTTGCTCTCTGGGCACCTCACTATTATTCTGTAGGACTTCATGTATTCCACTCCAACTGTGTTTATTTTTCAGGTTTTGAAAGCTGACTTCAGGGAGGAGTTGAACAGGAGGTCCAAGGAACAATTGTCACACAGTCCTGGCTTCCTAGCTCTTCCTAGAGTGAATTTCCAAAGCAAGGCTTCATTCTTTCATTTGCACCTGAGACTTAAAAAAATATGTGAATGAATGAACAACTAAACAGATAGCCAAATCAAACTCCTACTTCATTTTTTACAGAATATACAACTATAATATTACAGATTCCTTTCATATAAATTGGCTTATTCAATCCTCAAAACAAAACAAAACCCTATAAAACTCTCAGCAAAGTGGAAATAGAGAGAACATACCTCAACATAATAAAGGTCATATATGACACCATACTTAATGGTGAAGAGCTAAAAGTATGGCCCTTAAGGTCAGGAACAAGACAAGAATATTCACTTTTACCACTTTTATTCAACATAGTATTAAAAGTCCTAGCCACAGCAACCAGACAAGGAAAAGAAATAAAGAGCATCTAAATTGGAAAGGAAGAAGTAAAATGGTCATTATTTGCAGATGACATGATACTATACAGAAAAAAGCCTAAAGATTCTACCAAAAACCTATTAAAACTGATCATGAATTCAGTAAAGTAGCAGAATACAAAGTAATAATCCGAAATTGGTTTCATTTTTACACACCAATAACAAACTATCAGAAAGAGAAATTTAAAAAAAATCCTATTTACAATTGTATTTTAAAAAATCTAGGATTAAATTTAACCAAGGAGGTAAAAGACCCATAGTCAGAAAATTTTAAGACATTGAGGAAAGAAATTGAAGAAAATACAAATATATAAAAGCTTATATTGGGCTCATGGATAGGAAACATCAACATTGGAAAAATGTCTATACTACCCAAAGCAATCTATAGATGAAGTGCAATTCCTATCAAGATATCAATGGTATGTTTCACAGAACTCAAACAAATAATCCTAAAATTTATATGGAACCACAAAAGACCCCAAACAGCCACAGCAATATTGAGAAAACAAAATTGGAAGTACCATGCTACCTGTTATCAAACTTTACCTCAAGGCTACAGTCATCAAAACAGCATGGCACCGGTATAAAAACAGACAGAGAGATTAGAGAGCCCAGCAATGAACCCACACCTATATGGTCAATTAATATGGTAAATGCAAAGGAGGCAAGAACATACAATGGAGTAAAGGCAGTCTATTCAATAAATAGTGTTGGGAAAATTGAACAAATACATGCAAAAAAATGAAACTAGACTACCTTCTTACACTATATACAAAAATAAACTCAAAATGGATTAAAGATTTAAATGTAAGACTGGAAACCATAAAACTCCTCGAAGAAAAAATAAACATAGGCCACTGGTTGGCAACTGTGGCTTGGAAAACCTCGGCTCGTGAACCACATGCGGGTCTTTGGCCCCCTGAGTGTGGCTCTTCCACAAAATACCGACTTCTGCACATGGGCCACGACATTGTTCTCCTTCAATATTGTGTTAGCTGTTCTGGATCTTTTGTCTTTCCATATTAACTTGAGACCAGTTTGTCAATATCCACAAAATAAATTACTGGGGATTTTGATTGGGATAAAGGAATTTAATGTCCTTGGGAGAGTTAGTCAGGTTAGTCCAGTGGTCGGCAAACTGTGGCTCGTGAACCACATGCGGGTCTTTGGCCCCTTGAGTGTGGCTCTTCCACAAAATACCGACTTCTGCACATGGGCCACGAAGTTTCAATCGCACTGTACATGCAAGCCCGCACGTGGTATTTTTTGGAAGAGCCACACTCAAGGGGCCAAAAAGCCGCATGTGGCTCGCGAGCTGCTGTTTGCCGACCATGGACATAGGCAGTCAAATCTCAGACATCTCTCATAGCAACATTTTTTCTGATATACAGGCAAGGGAAACAAAAGAGCAAATAAACAAATGGGATTACATCAAACTGAAAAGGTTTTGCACAGCAAAGGAAACTATCAACAAAATGCAAAGAGAACCTACCAATTGGGAGAAGATATTCACCAATAATACACCTGATAAAGAGTTAAAAACCAAAATTTATAAAGAACTAATACATTTTAATACCCCCAAACCCCCAAACAAACTTATTTAAAAATGGGCAAAAGACCTGAAGAGATACTTCTCTAAAGAGAGGCATACAGATGAGACAAACCATCAGAGAAACGCAAATTAAAACCACAATGAGAATTAAAACTCACACCTGTCAGAATGGCTATTATCAATACATCAACAAACAACAAGTGTTAGTGAGGATTTGGAGTAAAAGGAACCCTCATGCCTTGTTGGTGAGCTTGCAAATTGGTGCAGCCACTGTGGAAAACAGCATGGGGGATCCTCAAAAAAATTAAAAATAGAACTACCTTATGACCCAGCAATTCCACTTCTGGGTATTCATCTGAAGAAATCCACAACACTGTTTCAAAAGGATATATGCACCCCTGTGTTTATTGCAGCATTGTTTACAATAGCCAAGATATGCAAGCAATCTAAGTGCCTATCAGTAGACAACTGGATAAAGATGTTATATGAATATGAATCAGCCATAAAAAAGGATGAAATCTTACTATTGCAACATGGATGGATCCAAAGGGTATTATTGTGCTGAGTCAAATAAGACAGAGAAAGACAAATACCATATAAGATTTCACTTCTTTGTGGAATACAAAGAACAAAATAAATGAACAGACACAACAGACACAGATTCATGGATGCAGAGAACAAATTGATAGCTGCCAGATACGAAGGGAGTATGGAGACTGGGTGAAAAATTTGAAGGGATTAAGAAATACAAATTGGTAGTTATAAAACAGTCACTGTATATAAAGTATAGTATAGGAAATATAGTTAATAATACTGTAATAATTATGGATGGTGCAAGGTGGGTACTAGACTTAAGGGGGGGTCACTTCATAAATTATATAAATGTTTAATCATTATTCTATCCACTTGAAACTAATATAAAATAATATTGAATGTCAACTGTTATAAATAATAAACTTAAAATAAAAACAGAAAAGGAAACCAAGGTCCATGGTGATTAGAGGATGTGACCAAGGTTGTTCACCCAGGAATCTCTCCATTTCAGAAGCAAACCTTCCAACAGTGAAGGACCAGGTTTTATACCTTCTTGTTAACACGACACTAATGCTCACAAGTTGATAAAGAGAAAAGAAAGAGGGTGGAGCTGAAAACTTCCCAAATTCAGCAAGAGACATAAACTTATAGATCCAAGATGCTTAACAAATTATTGGCACATGCATCAGTCTAGATTAATCTCCAAAGAAGTATGCTGAATGAAAAAAAAAAAGCTAATCCCAAAAGATTTCATGCTTCATGCTTACATTTATATGATGTTATTGAAATGACATAATCATAGAAATAGGGAACATATTAGCAGTTGTCAGGGGTTAAGAAAAGGGTGAGAGTGGGAAAGAAGTGTGTGTGACCATAATAGAGCACCATGAGGAACCTTAGATAATAGAAATGTTCTGTCCCTTGACTGTATCACTGTCAATATTATGGTTGATCAATAAACTCTTGCTCCCTTGCGAACACTAAGAGAGAAGTTGCACCTGTTGCTGTATGCCACTGGGATTTTTGTTACGCAGCATCGCTGACTGACAGGGTGGGGAGTAGATTATGCAGCAGCAAGGTGAGTAGAGAGGGTGTGAAGTTTCCCCAAAGTGAGTGGCAATTTGCACTGCTGGAGACTGAAGAAAGGGGGCATTCCACAAAGAAGTCTCTTGAAAGCAGTGGAGAAGATTAGAAATGAGAGAACACCTACAATGGGAACCACCTCCTCCAGGAAAAGTTCTCGTCTTACATTTCTGCTTTTAAAGTTGTAATAAAAATATATGACAAAATTTAGCATTTTACCATGTTTAGATATACAGTTCAGTGGTATTAGTACATTTACAATATTGTACAACCATCATCACTATCCATCTCTAAAACTTTTTCAACATTCCAGCAGAAACTCGGTCTCCATCAACCATTAACTCCCCATTGCTCCTCTCCCCAGCTCCTGGTAACCTCTGTTCTACTTTCTAAATCTATAAATTTGCCTATTCTAAATCATTCATATAAATGGAATCATACACTATTTATTCCTTTGAGTCTGGCTTATTTCACACTCATGTTGAAGCATCTATCTGAATTTCATCCCCATTTAAGGCTGAATAATATCCATTGCATGTATATGTCACATTTTGGTTATTCAATCATCTGTTTATAGACACTTGAGTTGTTTACACTTTTGGCTGTCCTATATAATAATGATGTAATATGCAAACGTTTGTTACACCGTAAAGTGTAACAACCGACCACATAACAACAGGATCACGGATCAGCAGGAGGGTGGGCAGCGAGCTACAAATGGGTGGTGGAGAGCTACAAGAGGGGGCAGGGCAGGAAGCT